TAGCAACCCACTGACGTTGCCACCAAAATTGACAATCATCTTGTCCGTTTCTTTCAGGGGCTTCATCTATGCCTCTCATTTCATTCCTCAAAGTCTGCCAGAGAGTCAGAGCCCTTAAAGTTTTCTATCAGAGAAGAAATCTTATAACGTGCCTTTACACTTCTGGAACTGCCGATATTCATGTTCGTATGCTACTGTCCTCTTACGACTAAGCTTATTTGGTCGCAAGGAGTTCTTCCCCAGCTGTGGAAGTCTGCCATTGTTCTTCCTTTCCGCAAACCAGGTACTACGGGACACGATGCCTTTCACTATCATCCCATTGCTCTTACCAGTGCAGTTTGCAAAGCGATGGAATGTCTGGTAAATAGACGTTTTATGTGGTATTTAGAGACACACAACAGTCTCTCCACTAATCAATATGGCTTTCGTAAGGGCCGTTCCACCACTGACCACTTACTACCTAATGACCCCTTATGTAAATTCACTCACATCACCACTAGTTGCAGGCAATTTCTTTACCAAATCATGCACTCTGACACACGCACTCCACTTTCGTACTTTGCAATTATCTCTTTCTTCATTTCAATAGTCATTAGCACCTTTTTTCTCGAAGGGTTGGCACTAGAAGCTTTCTTGGGGCCCATGGTTACTTATTTTGCAGAAACAAGCACCAAAAACAGTGATAATATGGATAATATGGAATGTACCGAATGTATCCTTAGATGCGCGCACCCTGGCTGGCTTGTAAACACTGGCACACACGGTGCAGTTCAGGCCACATGTGGACATGTCTCGTACGAATCGTATCAAATGTCGGGTTTTCCATCGAATGTCGAGGCAAAATTTTTGCGTTAAAATGCATCGAATGTCGGATTTATTGAATGTCGATGCCATCGAATGTCGGGGGTCCACTGTATATACATTTGCAAACTCTTATGTATAGTGCTAACTTGCAGCTTCTCATCCTGGTAATTTCAAGACTTGACCTTACTTCCTGATCTTGTGGAACTCTAACCTCTAAGCATGCCAAAAATTCATTTAACTATCTTTGTCTCTTACCTCAACTACTTACACTTACAAAAGATCTATATCAATACATATACTCATATAAACCTGTACAAGTAAGGTATATAAAATTTAGAGAAACTGGATATTAAAAACAAACCTTGAGATAACAAAGACAAATAGAAAACTTACGCTCGAGGTCCTTCATTTATCCAAATTTTTTTGAAACAGTCCATTGTGTTCTTGTACTTGCTGGCTTCAAGTCCCTGCATCCTGGTTTTGACTACATCAATTGGTGTATTACCAAAAACTGAAACAGCACCAGCTAAACCACCAAACAAACCTGAAAAGTAAGAATTATAATAACACCTGCACTGTAATAATAATAATAATAATAATAATAATAATAATAATAATAATAATAATAATAATAATAATATATAATTTTGAAGATTTACATATTACAAGGTTGTGTTAGATGTTACAGCAGTTTTAATGATGAAAAGCAGGCTTAAACTACAATTAAAACTACTTAATGCTAATAATGCTGTATATCAGTACCCAAAACGAAGCAATTTATATCGTTTCATAAAATTATGGATTACAAACTTATTAAAAAAGTATGGCAGCAGTTAACCTAATGTATAGTTAAACTCTCATTTCATGGACTAAATGGAAGGAGCAGGTAGCCACTTTAGGCAAGTGTGATCAACAGAGATGAGATATTGTTATGATCATGGCAAAACTAACAGACAGTTCCATAAGGAACAGACTGTCCGTTGTTTCCAAATTGCGTGATCCTGCATTTGTTTCCTGTATTTCCAAAATTTCTTATATTAGAGCCACTAATTTCACTTATGAAATGAATATGGTGAGCTCTTGTAACAAGTCTCCCATTCTTGCCAGACTTTCACGGTTATTGTTAGAAGAGCCAGTGAGGCTGCTCTTGCTTTCTGTCATTGTTTCAACACTCCCTATGCATTTTAACTCAGCCATCATGAATGCCCAAATGTCATCAAGTGATAATCTCAGTAATACAAAGGCAAAGAGGGCAAGAGCAGTACAGATACCAAAGCAGCTATTTCACAGTGAGACTGATGCTATATATAGCAAGTAAGAAAGAATGACTAAGGAAGACCTTTATTAATACAAGATTTCACCCAACATTGGGTTTTTTAAAGGTACTGTACTTAAAAATCCCAAAACGTACTGTACTTAAAAATCCCAATGTACACTGAAACATACAAAATGAGGGCTTCAATGCAGTTGTCTTTGTTATCCATTGTAAGCAACTTGCTATTGTCTCCAGTATTGTCTAAAATAACCTCTCATCTAAAATAACTCCCTAGTTTGCAGTGTGTCCTGTGGCTCAGTTGGCAATGCTCTTGCCTCACACAATGAGTGTCCAGGGTTCAATCCCTGGCATGGGTGGAAACGTTGGGCATATTTCCTTATACCTGCTGTCCATGTTCACCTCGCAGTAAGTACTTGGGTGTTAGTCAACTGGTGTGGGTTGCATCCTGAGGGACAAGACTGGAGGACCCCAGTGGAAATAAGACAGTCCTCGATGAAGCAGTGATTTTCTTGGGTTATCGTGGGTGGCTAATCCTCTGGGCTAAAAATCTGAACAAATCTTAAAATAATTCCTCACCTAACCCTCAAAATGTGTCCAATGTACTAGTACCCACAATTTTTCATAACCACAAATCTACCACATACCAATATTTCTGACCTCAGTAAAACTCTTTGGGTCTTCCCTCTATTCATATACAGTGGAACCCCGGATTTCATCCGCACTGGATAACGTATGATTTGGATTTCGACCACATTTTGGCAAAATTTTGCTCCGGATTTCGTACCTCATCCCGGAAATTGTCTGTATCAGACACGTCCGCCCACCCGGAGACACCACTCATGCATACGTGTCTCAGTCTGGCTCGGTCACTGGTTGAGTGAGCATTCATCTGAAACATTTTGTAATAATCCATTGTTTTTTGTGCTTATTTACTGAGTGCTTGGAGAAAATTGTGGCCAGAATGTGTCCTCGACAAAGATTTTGAAGGGTTTGAGGCTGACCCTGTTGACCCTATGCCTGTTGTGGAATAGTGTCTTTGGGGAAGTCCATGGAGTTGGATGTGATTGGCCAGGATGTGGAAGAGTTGGTGGAGGACCACAGGGAAGACTTAACCACTGAAGAGCTGCAAGATCTTCATCTGGAACAGCAACAGACCACAGCTGAGGAAATTGCTTCAGAGGAGGAGGAAGAGAAAGGAGAGAAGGTGCCTTCTTCAGTAATTAAGGACATTTGCGCAAAGTGGAATGAGGTGCAAACTTTTGTGGAAAAATATCACCCTAACCAAGCTGATACAAGCCATATATGCAACACGTTCAGTGACAATACCTCATCCCATTTTAGGCAATCTTAAAAGAGACGCCGTAAACAGAGCTCTGTGGACAGATTTTTAGTGCGACAGCAGTCCAGTGCCAGTAAAAGACAAAGGGAAGTAACCCCAAACAGGGCTTTGATACCTGAAGTCCTTATGGAGGGGGATATCCCTTCCAAACAATAACCTCTGCTCCTCCTCCCTCTCCCCTCCTCGCCATCCATACCCCAACAAGAGTCTTCAATAAAGGTAAGTGTGATGTTAAATGTTCATTTATCCATTTCATTAGTCATTTATATTTTTTTCTCATTGTTTTCTCTATGTAAATATAGTTATTCTTTAAAAAAATGTATTTTTTGTTAATATTTTTGGGTGTCTGGAATGGATTAATTGGATTTACATTATTTCTTATGGGAAATATTGCTTCAGTTTTCATCCGTTTCGGATTTAGACCAACCTTCCAGAACGGATTAAGGACAAAATCCGGGGTTCCACTGTATTTGAAAAAAATTAAGGCCAGAAGTGTCCACACAATGTAACATGTTAACTACTCATGTGATGACTGCACATGCATGCTAGTAGCTTTCTTTGTGCCTAACAATATTTTATTACATGTAAGCTATACTATGAATACTACACAAAGAAATAAAATTTGTTTGTTTGTATGTCCAATGTACTAGCATGCTAATTAGCTCACAAACCAGGAGCTGTTGTTTCACCACCAGCTTCCCTACCAGCAAATAGGATGTGCAAGTGGCACAAAGATGGCTCATTCATTCTAAATTTCTTACAATTTCACGATACTAACAGTGAAATTCAGCCACAAAGCACATTAATTATATTTAAAATACCACATTTTACAGCTAACAAGAACTCTGGTGCCAAGGACCCCCCCCATTTCTGACTGGTTAAATTTTGGAAAAAAAAAAATTTACCCCTTCCTCCAAGACAATGGGCAAAAATTAGTGTCTTAGACACTAAAATATGAGAACTGTAAAAAAATACGTCTAAAATAAATTCTAGCTAAAAAAACTGCTATAATTGCAATGAATGGATGCGATACACTGATAAATAGTATCATAAGCATCAAGTCATAATGTACAGCATAACAGACAAATGATATGAAGGAATAGGAATGGAGCTCCCCTTCCTTGAATCAAACCTAAATGCCTTCCATTCCCCAAATGGCATATGACCCCTAAGGGTTTAGTGCTCCCCCATAAATGTACTAATAATCCACAGTACAGGCAGGCCCCACTTTACAGTGCTTTGCTTTATGGCATTTCATCCCCTCAAGGGAGGTTCCTTGATGCTGGTGAGGGGCTCTTGATCTAGGGAATTGGATCTGTGCTCCAGTTCCCCAAATTGAGCCTGAATAAATTCCATCCCTCCCACATGCGCTGTATAATCCTATGGGTTTAGCACTCCCCCATGATTGTAATAATATGGCATTTCACTAATGAATCAGTTTTCAATTATACCCATTCTTCATTTATTCAGACTTCCTACAATAAATATAATATTCACTACTCACTACATGCTAAAGATGAAAATATTTCAAGGTAAGTAATGTGTGTACTGTATATGCATTTTTTAAGCCTAGTTCTATTGCTCGCTTAATATATGACATTATCAGGCTTTTTATATGAATTTGAAAATGAAAAAAAGTAATATTTCACTTTACAGCGATTTTTGCTTTACAGTAGTAGTCTGGAACCTAATATGTTACTTAAGTGGGGCCCCTCCTGTACATTAAACCAGTCTGACAAGACCTATAACAGTTAAAAATCATTAGTTTACTTACCAACAATCAGTTTAGGGACAGGTTTTGTTGGGTCACCACCACGATACTTGTCCTTACATGTTTCCATGACAAAGAAACGCATAGCTTGATTACTGCCTTGCTTCATTATGGTTGCTGTTACTCCCTGGTAGGTGCCACGGATGCCTGCACATAAATCGTAATTAATTGAAAAATCTTTTTTTTTTTTTTTTTTTTTAACAAGTCGGCCGTCTCCCACCGAGGCAGGGTGACCCAAAAAGAAAGAAAATCCCCAAAAATAAAATAATTTTCATCACATTCAACATTTTTTCACCCTCACTCACACAAAATCACTTTTGCAGAGGTGCTCAGAACACAACACTTTAAAAGCAATACTATAAAGATACACAACATACCCCTCCAAACTGTAATATCCAAACCCCTCCTTTAAAGTGCAGGCATTATTTCCCCCATTTCCAGGACTCAAGTCTGGCTAAAATAAAAATAACTGTTTTCCTGAATCCCCTTCACAAAATATTATCTGCTCACACTCCAACAATCGTCCAGGCCCCAAATACCATTTCGTCTCCATTACCCATCAAACACGCTCATGAAAGGCTGCTGGAAGTCCAAGCTCCTCACCCACAAAAACCTTCCAACCTTTTCGAGAGACCCTACTCCCCCTTCCATCTCTACAGATTTAAATGCCTCCATGTCATTTACTTTGATTCGATTCTCTCAAAAATGACCAAACCCACCTAAACAACCCTCTTCAGCCCTCTGACAAATACTTTTATTAACTCCACACCTTCTCCTAATTTCCACACTCCCAATTTTCTGTATAATATTTACACCACACACTGCCCTTAGACAGGACATCCCACTGCCTCCAACCGCCTCCTCGCTGCTGCATTCACAACCCAATATTATAAAACCCCCAATATATAAAACATGTTACAATAAAAAAATTATTAGCATCTTAAAATAATAATATTATATCTATGCTAAAATAAAAAATTATAAATAACATTGTATAATAATAAATTATGATCAACTCCGTGTCTCACACGCACTTATAATGACGCTCGTGTCCCACACGACACTTATTCGAGTTGTGACGCTCCTCCACCGTGTCACTCGACACCCTTTTCGCCGTGTGATGACGCTCCTTCTCCACCCTGTCACTCGACACCCTTTTCTCCGTCACCAACCTCCAGCTCTCCGTTCACACGACACCCCTTTTCTTTTGCGTAAATCCACACCCTTTCTCGATTGTGTCACACTTGACACCCTTGTCTCTGCGACACACTCACTATCAAACGTAGCGTCTTTCGAGAGGCCAGTCACATATACATTCAATGTACACTACAACCAGGCCATCTTCAGTGTCACATACACCCTTTTCTTCTCAGTGTTCCACTATGGTCCTGTAGCATATCTCAGTGTTCCTCTCCATCATACTTCCCTAAGTGTCACACAACGGGCCTAGCCCAGTTCAGTGTAAACACTCAACCTTTTTCTTCATGTAATGTCTCACTAAAACAGCATCAGATGACTCCGGCCCACAGTTGACCACGTAGGCGGTGAGTCCGCAGACATCACCGGTAGTCCGTAAATACTCTCCAAGGCCGTGAAGTACACCGAAGATGGGCTGGCGAGACTATTTTACCGTCTTCAAGACCAAATGACACACCGCAAGGTGGTCCGATGAATTACTAGCAGAACACCATGCTGCAAGCTCACCGAGTGCAGCCGTCAAGTAACTGGGGGCCAAACAGACTCAGTGAGCGTGGTGAGCGGGTCTTCTAAAATCAGTAGAAGCCATAGAATACCAAAAGATGGGCAGGAGAATACTCTCTACTGCCAGTAGATCTATACTGTAAGGTGTTCTGGTAATTACTGCTTGGATGCGTACCGTGAGGTGTTCAGGTACTTAATGCTTCTAAACACAGTAGATGTGTACCATGAGGTGTTCAGGTACTTACTGCTTCTAAACACAGTAGATGTGTACCGTGAGGTGTTCAGGGATTACTGCTCTAAGCCGGCTCGCATCCCCAATTGGGTTTTTATGACGACCCAAAGGTACTGCCGGCCGGCAGGTTAACCATTTAACCACTAGTTTGGTGGGGGGCCGCAACAACACCCATATAAGAGTGTTTGTACTACTATACTTTCATACATTCCCTTCTTTGCCTCCATAGATAACGTTTTTTGACTCTACATATACCTCAATGCACCACTCACCTTTTTTCCTTCATCAATTCTATGATTAACCTCATCCTTCATAAAACCATCCGCCGACACGTCAACTCCCAAGTATCTGAAAACATTCACTTCTTCCATACTCCTCCTCCCCAATTTGATATCCAATTTTTCTTTATCTAAATCATTTGATACCCTCATCACCTTACTCTTTTCTAAGTTCACTTTCAACTTTTCTACCTTTACACACACTCCCAAACTCATCCACTAACCTTTGCAATTTTTCTTTAGAATCTCCCATAAGCACAGTATCATCAGCAAAAAGTAACTGTCAATTCCCATTTTGTATTTGATTCCCCATAATTTATCCGACCCCTCTCCCAAACACCCTAGCATTTACTTCTTTTACAAACCCCATCTATAAATATTAAACAACCATGGTGACATTACACATCCCTGTCTAAGACCTACTTTTACCGGGAAGTAGTCCCCCTCTTCTACACACCCTAACCTGAGCCTCACTATCCTCATAAAAACTCTTTACAGCATTTAGTAACTTACCACCTATTCCATATACTTGCAACATCTGCCACATTGCTCCCCTATCCACTATCATATGCCTTTTCTATATCCATAAATGCAATAAAAACTTCCCTACCTTTATCTAAATACTGTTCACATATATATTTCAATGTAAACACTTGATCTACACATCCCCTACCACTGAAACCTCCTTGCTCATCCGCAATCCTACATTCTGTCTTACCTCTAATTCTTTCAATAATAACCCTACTGTACACTTTTCCGGGCCCATACTCAATAAACTTATTCCTCTATAATTTTTACAATATCTTTTGTCCCCCTTCCCTTTACATAAAGGGACTATACATGCTCTCTGCCAATCCCTAGGTACCTTCCCCTCTTTCATACATTTATTAAACTAAAGTACCAACCACTCCAACACTATATCCCCCCTTGCTTTTAACATTTCTGTCATGATCCCATCAGTTCCAGCTGCTTTACCCCCTTTAGATAAGATAAGATAAGATTTCGTTCGGATTTTTAACCCCGGAGGGTTAGCCACCCAGGATAACCCAAGAAAGTCAGTGCGTCATCGAGGACTGTCTAACTTATTTCCATTGGGGTCCTTAATCTTGTCCCCCAGGATGCGACCCACACCAGTCGACTAACACCCAGGTACCTATTTGCTGCTAGGTGAACAGGACAACAGGTGTAAGGAAACGTGTCGAAATGTTTCCACCCGCCGGGAATCGAACCCGGGCCCTCCGTGTGTGAAGCGGGAGCTGTAGCCACCAGGCCACGTAATGCCTCACATACCTCCCCCACACTTACATTCTGCTCTTCTTCACTCCTAAATGATGGTATACCTCCCTGGCCAGTGCATGAAATTACCGCCTCCCTTTCTTCCTTAACATTTAAAAGTTCCTCAAAATATTCGCGCCATCTACCTAATACCTCCCTTTCCCCCATCTACTAACTCCCCTACATTGTTTTTAACTGACAAATCCATACGTTCCCTAGGCTTTCTTAACTTGTTTAACTCACTCCAAAATTTTTTCTTATTTTCATTAAAATTTCTTGACAGTGCCTCTCCCACTATCATCTGCTCTCCTTTTGCACTCTCTCACCACTCTCTTCACCTTTCTTTTACTCTCCATATACTCTGCTCTTCTTATAACACTTCTGCTTTGTATAAAAATCTCTCATAAGCTAACTTTTTCTCTTTTATCACACCCTTTACTTTCATCATTCCACTAATCACTCCTCTTTCCTCCTGCCCCCACCCTCCTATAACCACAAACTTCTGCCCCACATTCTAATACTGCATTTTTAAAACTCGTCCAACCCTCTTCAACCCCCCACTACTCATCTTGCACTAGCCCACCTTCCTGCCAATAGTCGCTTATATCTCACGCGAACTCCCTCCTCCCTTAGTTTATACACTTTCACTTCCCTCCTACTTGTTGTTGCCCCCTTCCCTTGT